ACCTCTTGCCTGAACTATTTATTGGAACAATCTAAGCGGTTCCCCATACCCACCTTTGTTCCCTTTCAATCTAGTCTCTAAGTAGCAGCCAAAGAAATGCTTTAAGTACATAAATAAAATAAACTCACTGCATACTTAAATCCCTTCAGTTGTCCACTTTGCTCTTACATAACTCCGTCAAGATGGCAGCCTCAGGAATGGTGGGGAAAAGAAGGTTTATTCTACCAGATGAATGTTGTCAGGAATGCCTGTGAGAAAGATGGAACTCACCTGGAGAAGCATCTTGGGACACGCGAAATGAAAAGAAGCTTGCTGCTAAACCAGAGCCGTAAGAGAAGGCACCAATCCTGGAGCCAGCCAGCTCTTGGGCAGAGTGGCTGCAGGGGAAGAAATCACATGAAAAACACGTTGGCATTGTATTCTGCACTGAAATAGGACATCACCCTATCACCCCAGTCTCCTTCCTGTCTACCTCATGCGACTACATACAGAGGGACTTCTGGTAGACCCCAGGGACAGGCCCAGGAATAGGAAAGCTTGCCAAAAGGAAAGCAGCTAAGATCCGAGATAAACAAGACACAGAAACACAGGAGAATTTTTGGTGTACATAGAGCTTCTCCGCTCTCCTGGGGACAAGATAAATTCAGTGCATTCTGAAAGTGCCTCTAAATAAGGATCAAGACCACCGGCCTCACCCTCCAGGCTCCCATGCTGACAGGGACCTGATCATCCCCTATGAGTAATATGATCAAGTCCACCCATAAGTACTTTTTCCTGCCTTGTTTGGGGCGGGGGGCAGAGTCTTGCTCTGCTGCCCAGCCTGGAGTGCAGTGGTGTGATCCTGGCTCACTGCAGCCTTGACCTCCCGGGTTCAAGTGATTCTCCCACCTCAGGATTCAGGATCCTTGGTAGCTGGGACCACAGGTACAAGTCACCACACCCAACTAATTTTTATTTTTATTCTTATTATTCTTTTGAGACAGAGTCTCACTCTGTCACCCAGGCTGAAGGGTAGTAGCATAATCTCAGCTCACTGCGACCTCCACCTCCCGGGTTCGAGCTACTCTCATGCCTCAGCCTCTCGAGTTGCTGGGACTACAGGCGCACACCACCACACTAAGGTTTGTGTTTTTAGTAGAGATGGGGTTTTGCCACATTGGCCAGGCTGGTCTCAAACGCCTGATCTCAGGTGATCCTCCCGCCTTGGCCTCCCAAAGTGTTGGTATTATAGGCGTGAGCCACCTCCATGGCTCACACACATCCATGGCTAATTGTTCTAAAAAACATTGTAGAGATGTAGTCTCCCCATGTTCCCCAGGCTGTTCTCAAACTCCTGAGCTCAAGAGATCCTCCCGCCTCGGCCTTCCAAAGTGCTGGGATTACAGGCACGAACCACCTCCCCTAGCCCTTTGCTATTTATATGCAGTGTTTCCTTACAAAGCCCACAAAACAGAAAACGAATAGAATTAACATCCAACATTTGAGCACCTGCTGAGCACTGCTATTTTAAATACTGTATCCTCATGAAAACGGTAGAACACAGATGTCGTGATTGCACGTGTTCTACAGATGGGGAAAGTGAGGGGCATTGAGGTTCAGTATTGTCCAAGGTCAACACTCATAAGTGATTTAAAAAATTTGAACCCAGGTTGTGGGCTCTGAGGTCAGACCCATTTAACCACCATGCTCTACTAAGGATAGAGATTTTACATAAATGAGACCAAAATATGCATGCAAATGCTACTGTTTTTTTTTGCTGCACTGAAACAGAACTGGCCCGTGCCTTCACACCATGGACTTCACTTTGGAGACCACTGTCTGACGCAGATTGGAAACCCGCCTCTACATACACCTTTGACATGAGTTTCTTTCATCTTCCTTCCTTCTTTTCCTGCCTTCTCCCTCCTTTCCTTTATTTATTTATTATTTATTTATGACAGGGTCTCGTTCTGTCATCCAGGTTGGAGTCCAGTGGCACAATCATAGCTCACTGCAACCTTCCACTCCTGGGCTCAAGCCATCCTGCTACTTTGGTCTCCTGGGTAGCCGGGACCGCTCATGCATACCACCATGCTTTGCAGAGATGACGGTTCAAGGGTCTGGAACCCCTAGGCTGAGGTCATCTGCCCACTTGAGCCTCCCCAAATGCTGAGATTACAGGCATGAGCCACCACACTACGCCCCTTCCTTTCTTTTAAATTTCTGAGCCAGAAGAGAAACTTGACTTGGTTGACCCCTCAGACCATGGGGTTTAGGCTGCATGCAGGACACGGAGCCAGACACAGTACTCACCTGGACAGAAGCGAGGCCAGGCACCCGTACAGGGATGAGGTGTACATATTCCCATTGTGCGTGGAGAGGTACAGAGAGGCCTTGGTTTTCTTGTTGAACGTGTCCTGAGAGGCCTTCAGAAGTGCTTTATCCAGGTCCTTGTTGTTGTAGGTGTCTTCCAGCTTTAGGCCCCTGTGAGGCAGCCACAGGTATCCAGGTGAAAGACCACAGGAAGGTAGGGAGGGAGAGAGGGGGAAAAGTAACAGCTTCTGGGGAGAAGACTTTCAGCGTATGTTTTTTCTACAATATTTGGAAATACAGAAGAGCACAAAGGCGAGCATACCACGAAGAGTCTTACCATTCAGAGAGAGCACTTAGGGCATAGTTTCCTTGTGAAATCCATCCCTATTTTTATACTGTTTACTAAAAAATTAAAAAAAAATCATGCTATGCGTTGTGGTCAGCATACTTTCTTAACTTAGCGTGCGTGTAAATATGTGTATATAATTTTCCACGACTTTCCCTAACATTATTTGTAAAGGCTGAAGAATGGCCCATGAGAGGAGGTTCTTTAACCGTGACTTTAAGCTATCTATCTCCCTACTCCTCTTCCTCATTAGTTAAAACACTACAGTGTGGGAAGAAATGCCAGATATGAGTGATGGGCAGGAAGGCAGCAAATCACGCTGCCACGTGTGTACCTATTGCAACAATCTTGCATGTTCTTCACATGTACCCCAAAACCTAAAATGCAATTAAAAAAAACACTACAGTGGATAGATAGGTGTTCTTTTCAACGTGGGATTACTGAGCTCAAATGTTGCACATTGTTAAGGCTTTTTCTTCAAGTCCTCCTATTACTTCTTAAAACATGAGATGCATTTACACAGTCACCACTGCCCATTTTCCCACAGCCTTGACAATTCTGGGGATTCCCATTTTAAAAAAGACCATGTGGAGAAAATGGTAACTCGAGTAAACTTTTTATTAACGATCTTCACATTTAAAGTGTGATTACACACATTTCTTCTTTTTCTGTTTGTATCCGTTGCTCATTTTTCTACTAGGGTATTTATTTTATTATTGATAATATCTTTATATATGAAAGACATTAAGCTATTAACTTTGGTGTATGTTACACTTTTTGTTTCGATAGGGCCAGTCCTATAAACAGTGTTTGTGCTAATTTCGATGTTTTAGTTAGTGGCAGGTTAGTTAGTAGCAGGGGCTACAATTGTAGCCTATTATACTGTTGATAAAATTGACCGAAGTTTGAAATAGAAAGATACCGAGAAGAAAGGGAAAGATTCCTTTCCTAGTGTAAACTGTATTGAAGACACTTCTTTTTAAATGTTAGTGTATTCGTGTGAATTAATAAACAGCATTCTTCCTACTTTTTCACGTCCAAGCGGGTGAGCTGGACTATCTCCACTTTATAGATGGGAGAAGCTGAAGCAGAAGCAGCACATGAATGCAGACAAGTGAGAATGAGACCTGACGCTTCTCAAACTGCTGCTCTCTAGTGTGGTCATTTGCTTCTCTGTGTTTGTGTCTGTATAGACTGTGAGATCCTCTAGGGCAGGGACCATGGAGTCACATTCATTCTAGTATCCTGAGAGGTTAGTACGATGTCTGGCACATAACATGCTCAGAAAATGAAAATGTTGATTGACTGAATGATTTAGCTACCCTCCTTTCCTTCCTTCCTTCCTTCCTTCCTCCACTCCTTCCTTCCTTTCTTCCTTCCTCCCCTCCTTCTTTTCTTCCTTCCTCCATCCTCCTTTCCCTTCCCTCCCTCTCCTTTCCTTCCTTCTTTTTTCTCTGTAGTTTCTTACAGTCCCTTGATCCTGCACTGCTGGCCCATCCCCCTTGTTTCCCTGCAATAACACATGGAGAGCCCTGCCAGGCAATCACCTACTACCCTGCAGACGGACTTGGGATTATTCCTGCTGTGGTGGAGGATTGCTGTCTGTCCCCCAGAGGGGTGCTGGTGGTCCAGACTCAAGACATGAGGGAGCCTCCTTCTTGCTCACCCCTTACTAGCCTCTAGGCTCCCTGAGAAGAAGACTCACCTGAAAGCTTCCAGCCCCTTATATAAGCTGCTCGGTGTGTCCCTGCTGGCTGACAGGAAGTCACTGAACATCAGGCGAGCCAGAGACTTCTGGACCATCTTGCAAAAGGGTGTATGAAAGATCATGTACTGTAAATCGTCAAGGGTGAAGGGTCGATCATTGCCAGCTGGAAAAGGAGTAAAATTTAAATGCCGCAAGAGTTCAGAGGAGTTAAGAGCAAATTACAAATTACAGTAGACAGACAGAGGCAGAGAGGCCCAAGGCAACTTCTTACCCATGAGGTTCACATCTGGCAGGTGGCGCCCCACGCAGTGCAGTGGAAAGGACAAGGGGCAGCTCTTTATGCCATCCCCAAGGCACCCATGCCCTCTCCCACACTGCACTCTGTCTTTTGCAGATGCCCATTTGGGCATGCCTGAGCAGTAAGGATACTACTTATTTCTTTAAAGTGGGTCTGACTGTATTTTATTTTTACTTATTTATATGTTTTTAGAGACAGGGTTTGTTTCACCCTGTAGCCCAGGCTGGAAGGCAGTCACTTCATCACACCTCCTGGCATGGGCTCCTGGTCTCCAACCATTACCCTCACCTCAGCCTCCTGAGGAGCTGGGCCTACAGGCTCATGCCTGGCTCACTTTTGTATTTGTTTGTTTGTTTTTTGCTCAGACAGACGATCTTTATTGGTGTTTTCAACCATTTTGATTACAACTTCCAGCAAGAAGTGCGTCTTACATTGCAAGCAGTTCTCTTATTTAGATGCATGGCTGAAAAGTTTCACAAAACTGTACTTGCCTTTACTACACGATGCATTCTAGCCTATTTTATTCTGCCTCATTGCTGCGTAATGCTGGTGGCCACCTGATAATTGATTTCGCAATTTATTAATGGGCTGGGACCCACGGTCTGAAAACCCTGCCTTAGGCTGCGAGCGTTTCTATGATCTCTGAGAGCTACTCCACACAGGTAAAGACACGTGAGGTAAACTAGGAAACAGCTTCTGCTTTTGCAGATTAGAAGTGAACTTTGACATCACGCAGGGAAAAGGCTAAACATGACAAAATTTCCACTTGAGCAACCCTGGGGAGCGCAAACAGGAGGAATGAGGGCAAGGGTGACTTCAAGAAAGCACTGGCAGATCACGCACTTTAAGGCAACTCTACACTGCACAGTGTCAAATAACCTAGCACGGGGCGGCACTAAATGGCTGCAGGAAAGCGGAGTCTTCTTCCACATCCGGCGGCTCCCCTCGGGTGTGAGCGCTGGCCCAGGGTGTGTTTACAGAGAGGTGAGGGCTTCCCATGGATCCTTCTGGTTGGGAGCGCTTAGCCTCAGGAGCTGATTCAGGGCACAGGCAGATGACATCCACAGACACCACAGGGAGCCGCCACCCAGGGGCGTGGAAGGGCCTGATGACTCTTTGGGATTCTCGGCTGGCAGGGTGGTCCCTCGGGGACAGCACAGCGGCTCACCTCTGTGCCTCTGGGGGTGCGGGGAGAGCCTCTCCCTCCCTGCTCTCTGGGCTTCACGGGTGGGCTGTAGGGGCCCAGGGTGCCACCCAGCACGTAGCCTTTCTCCTTCTCGTGGGTCTTCTGGTGCTCGGCCAACGCCAGGCTGAAGTGGCAGGTCTTCCAGCAGCCCTGATGGGCATGGCGCTTCCGGCCGCTGTGGCTGCTGTGGTGCTCCGAGGGCCACGCAAAGGCCTCCCCACACTCGCCGCAGGCCAAGGGCTTCCCGCGGGACACGCCCGGCTCATCAGCCCCTGGGCCCTGCCCTGCCATGAGCCCCGTGCTGTGGCTGGCACTGGAGACACCCTCAAGGCTCTGCCCATCTCCATCCTCGGGGTGTGGCCTCTTGGTTCCCAGCCTCGCCGCACCCCTGTCCAGGGCTGGCTGCCGGATGCGCTCCGGAGGCAGAGCCAGACTCTGTCCTGGGGGTCCTGAGGGTCTGGGGCCTTCCCAGGCTGCTCTTCCTCTTCCTCAGCGGTGCTGGACAGGGGCTCCGCAAGGGCATCCCTTGGGGGCACCTCCGTAGGCAGCTCCTGCGTGGGGGCACCCAGCACTCTCCTGAAGCCTCCCGTCTTCTGGGAGGCTGCTGCCTTGTGGATCTCTTTCCACCAACCGGAGCTCCTCAGTGTCCAGCCTGGAGGCAGCGTCAGGCTGGGAAGGCTGATACCCCCAACAAGCTTCCGGTAGCTCTTCAGGTTCTCCTCAGCAGGGTCCAGGCGGCCCCACTCCCCCAGGTTCTGAGGATCCTCTGGAAAGGACTTCAGCTTCCGCTCAGCGTTGGCAGGGCTGGCCTCTTCGGTCCTTGCTTACCCAACCCTCCTCTGTTCCAGAAACAGGGGGTCCAGAGAAAGCCAGGGTGTCTCAGAAGGTGGTGGGATCTCCCCAGCTCCAGGTTCCTGGCTGGGGCTTGCGAGCTCGCCTGGTAGCAGCAGGGGTCCATGTGCCTCTTATACACTCCATCGCTAAAAACCGAGGATCAGCCCGCAGGGGAGCCCAGCAGCATCACTGGCTCATGCAGAACATCAGCCAGGCCCTCTACCAGGAGGCTGCCCTCTTGCAGCTCTCAGGGTACTGTGCCACCACCCAGGGCCGGACCCTATCAGGCAGGATGCCCAGGAACTGCTCCAGCACCAGCAGCTCCAGCACCTGCTCCATGGAGCGTGCCTCAGGCATCAGCCACCGGCGGCACAGCTCATGCAGGCGGGCCAGGGTCTGGTGGGGCCCGGCAGCCTCCTGGTAGACAAATTCCCGGAAGCGCAGGCGGGAGAACTCCAGGTCAGCAGGGGTCCTCTCATGGATGGTCTCAGGTTCCTCCTGCTGGACTCCAGCTGCTAACCCCGGCGCCGGCAGATCCGGTGGGGTTGGGGAGCTCCGAGGGGAAGCAAACGTCTTCTCCAAAGGCAGCATCCTTCCAAAACTGCACTGGAAAGTGCGACTGTGTCTAGCCAGGGACAAGGTGGCTCAAAGGAGAGGTGTCAGCAATGACCAGATGCCCGGGGGGCTTAGGTGGTGCCAGAACCCACAGACCTTTGAGACGCACTGAAGTAGTATCTATCAACAATTCCTTCCTTTACTGATAAGTAGTATTCAGTGGTATACAGCAGGTTAAACATTCTCCCACTTGTCTCCAACGAATAAAGCGAAGTTACAGAGAGGCAAGGGAGGGAGAACTTCTGAGGTTTCCAGCTGCAGTCTGAGTGAGTGAATTAATCTCCATTTCCATGTAGACAGAACCTCCCGCCGCCGTTGTGTCTACCATTGTTTTGTTTTTTTTTAGAGAGAGGGTCTTGCTTTGTTGCCCACATTGGTCTCAAATTCCTGGGCTCAAGCAAGCCTCCTGCCTCAGTTTCCCAAAGTGCTGAGATTACAGGCGTGAGCTACCACTCCCTGCTTCTCTGTATTTTAAAACGAAGATTCATTTGCTTATTGTCTGCTTGTAGAAGCAGTACATATTTCTCAGCGGGGAAATTCCAAAACTAAAGGTGAAAATAGAAATTGAACAATCCAAGATAAAGAGACTTAGACTCAACGAGACAGAAAATTAATAAGGATATCAAGGACTTGAACTCAGATCCGGAACAAGAAAACTTTTTTTTTTCTTTTTTTGCAGAGCTCTATAAATATTTATTAAGTTCTCTTAAGTATTTCTTAATAAATATTTCTTAAGTATTTCTTAATAAATATTTATAGAGCTCTCCACTTTAAATACACAAAATATACATTCTTGTCAATACCACATCACACCTACTCATAGGTTTAAATGAAACATTGATTGGCCATTATTAATACCCATTTTTTTTTAGAATAAAGCAACATTTCCCTTCTCTCTCCCTCTTTTTTTTCCTCTTTCTTCCTCTCCTTCATTCCTTTTTTTTTCTTTCCTTCTCTCAAAAAAAAAAAAAAAAAGAAATTAACTTGTAGACCTCTAGATCCAGGTGGGCAATGTCTCTCTCATTGCTCGATTTCCTTCCTTCCCTTCTCTCCCTCCCTCCCTCCCTCCCTCTCTCCCTCCCTCCTTCCCTTCCTCCTTTCCTCCCTTCCTGCCTTCCTCCCTAAAAAAAAATAAAAAATAAAAATAAAGGTGAAAATAAAATCAACCTGTAATACGATCACTAAGAAAAATCCCTGATAACACTTTAGCATATAGAAAATATAAGTATGATTTCTTAACCTCAGACTTTAGAAAATAGCCAACTATAAACCCAGAGCCAAACCATGCCTGACTTAACCAGAAACAAACGCCAACCCTGTAGAATGTGGTTGCCTGGCCTCTTACCACCGTCTCCCCAGGTGGCGGACACCCCTTGGTTTCATAGTGGGGGCCTTGCCCTGGATTGTTTACTTTCTTTTATTTAGCTCAAGTTAGAAGCAATTTTACACCTGAACTTAAATGATGTCCAAATGGATTTTAGCGTAGACCCAGGGAAAAGTGTAAGAAAGAGGACAGGAAACAATTCTCTTGACATTATCTTCAGGGAAGGAAAGAAGAGACCTTGTCATAGCATTTGGCTACAAACCCTTGGCCTATAAGTAGAGCCCCCGCTTTCTGCCCTCTGAACCCCATACCTTGCTTCCACTGATTCTGGATTTTTTGACGGTATGATGTGTAACATCGATCCAACGCTCGGAAGTAGCACTGGATGGAAAGCTTTCCATCCACCATGGGGTACTCCGAGGCCAAATTCGGTTTGTAGAAGTCATACACATTCTCCATGTGGGTTCCCCTCAGCCCTGGAAAGGCACACAGAAGGCTTTCAGAGACTACACAATGCAAACTACCTTGAGCACAAAGGATGAGAGAACCACGTAAAAAGAGCTTTCTGGTCATTATCTGTGTCCCATGCGCAAGTGCAAGCCCACTCAACATCCCTCGCATATTCAAAAGGAGTTGGACAGGTTGCTAACATTACACAAATCAGTTGTCTATTTCCCTTTCCTCACCCACATGGGCTTAACAAAACCTGGAATAGAAACCAATAGTCTCAAAGGAAAGACTGCCACTTTACACCCAGTTATCTTCCTTTGCCTTCAACTGCCAGAGGGTCCCTAAGGTCCGTCACCAGCATCTGCACCACGCATTCCATCATTGTCCCAATGCCTGGTGATGCAGGACAGAAAACCTCGTGGATTTCCCTGCCCCATTTCTCCTTTCCTCCCTCTGCTCCTTAGACCAGCCTTTTGGAGGCAAGCAATACCATCTTCGAACCCGCACCTCAGCCCTGAGTAGTAGATGTGCCAATGTGGGATGAGGGTGTATGTTCCTGGCTATGCCATGCACAGCCTTTTGGTAATGGTTCACTACAAACCTTGCTCCAGGGCCAGAGGGGCCTTGGGCCCAATCAGCATGGCCACGGCTCCGGCCCCACCTGTGGGACGAGCATTACCATTGGGATAGACGGCGATGTCTCCACAGACCACCATCGCATAGCGACCTGTAAAGAGAAACAAGAAATAATTAGCATCACTAGCACATCTAGAGTAGACTGAGTCCCTTCTGTGTACCAGGCACAATTCTAGGTGCTGGATATACAGTAATAAGCAAAATAAAAAACCCCAGTCGTGTGGAGCTTAGCTTCCAGTGCATTTCATGATACATTTGAAATGCAAAGTCAGAATTTAGTGTCCTGACACTCCAGCTGTAAAATGCTCATTTATTCCGAATTCTGTCTCTGGCTTCAGTGAAAAATGTGTTAGTTGGCACTTTTGGAGACAATTCGGGTCTCCTTCTAGTGCTCCATGATCCTGAAATTCTTTCCCAAATCATAGAAGGTGAAGGACAGGGAGGGAAACTGAATTTAAAACACTGCATTTGAAACACTAATAGGACACTAGTTATCCTTAAACAACTCTGAACAATGCAATGAGGCAGGTAACATTCATGGGTGAAGACACTGCCTTCCTGAGAGACGGAGTGACTAGTGTAAGGTCACATTCCGGGTGAACATGGACTTTGATATTCAAACCCAGTCCTGCCTGGGTCCTGAGCCATGTTCCTTGCATTGCTTGGTACTACATTTATTGTGAAAAGAGTTTATGTTCAGTAAATGATCCATAGTCAACAACTTTATGATACTCAGACAAGTATTTGAGAAATAATTGTGGTCTTGACTATTATTTGTTCTGCTTTTATCTGTCAGAAGTTCTGTCCCCAAAACTAAAGTTTGTGGCTAAGATTTGGCAGGAATTTTAGTATTCTGACCTGTGAGGAAGCTCCCAGTACTCACCCACAGCACTACACTGGGAGTCATATTTCCATTTAATTTAATCCTCATGATGAATCAATATAGTAGATATAGTTATCCCCATCCTACAGATGAAGAAACTGAGGCCTACAGATTTTAAGCCACTTGCCCAAAAACAACATAGCTAATAAATGGTAGGATAAGGATTCAGAGTCAGGACTCCAACCCAAATTCACTGAAATCCAGGGACCTTCTCTTAAGAATTATAACAATCCTAACTCCAACATCAACAAAAAAGTATTGTTTTCTTCCCCAATGTCATCTGCACGTGTGTATGTATGTATATGTAATATATGAAAAATTTAAATCTATATAAAATATAGACATGCAAGTAAATATTTAATTATACAAATATATTAGTATAAGCAAATTGGTATATTTAATACCTATAAATATATATTTAAGTATATATAATTTTTATATGCATAAAATTAAGGGAAAACAATACTTGTTTCTACATGTATACATACACAGACACACATGCACACACATTTTGAAAACTTTAGAAACTATAGAAAAGTATTTAGAATCCATTTAGAAAAAGGCCAGTAAGTTTAAGTACCTAAATATCAAAGCCTTCCGTCAGAAACAAAGTCAAAAGACAAATTGGGGAAGTATTTGCAATACTTACAATCAACAAAAAGCAATTAAAAGTTTCATTAAAAAGGCAAGCTATATAATAGAAAAATGGCCAATAAATAACATAAAATATTCAATATTCTTTATAATAATTTCTTAAAATAAGGCAAATCAAAAACATTATAATTTTACTTGTTAAATGGACAAAGATTAGAAAGCTTGGTAATATACACATCATAGGATGTAAGTTAGTACAACATTTTGGAGAAGAATTTTGCTCATTTTATCAAACTGCTAAATCAACCTATTCTGATATTCCACCTCTAGGAATATATTCTTATAATACAATGCCACAAGTGTACAAAGCTATTGTACGATGTTGATTAAAACCTTATTTATCATTGCAAAAAATCTAAGTATCCATAAATATGGGACTAATTAAATAAAATGTGGCATATTCATCAGTAGAATACTGTGGTTTTTAAAAAGAATCAGATGGACCTTCTATATGTTGATACAGAATTGTCTCTAAGTCATAAGAGACGGGGAATATTTTGCACAATGTTTAAAACAGAGTAGATATGTGTATACTTGCAGGAACCTAGAAAAAATATTGGAAGAATCCATAGAAGCCATTAGTGTTGAATTCTGGGAAGTGGTAATGGGGTGTCAAATGAGAAGTTTTCTTCGCTTTCTATACTTTTGTGTATGTGTATGATTTTTTAAAATATAAATTTTAATTACTTTCATTTTTTTTAAGAAAATGACAAGAAAACATGGGGACTCCCAGCCAATCTGTGCCAGAACTACTCTTCTCTTTCGCCATCCCCTCCTCTTGTATTCCCTAAGTCTCCGAGCCACCCCCTCCCACCTGAGGGTCCCCAGGTGAATGACTGGCTAAGTCAGAAGCAGAGTTTTCACTCACGCTGGCATCGTCTGGTCCTGGTGGTTGCCGCCCAGGGTATGTAGTCCAAGTGTTCAGGCTCAAGCTTAAGTGTTTTTGTTTTAAATACCAACTAAAAATTCACATTTTAACAACTTTTTAAAAAATTTTTCCTTTTATACCAAGATACCATATTTTTAAAAAATGTATTTGCAGTTCCCATCTGTGGAATACCCAGCTTCTCAGAAGAATCTACTCATTTGAAATGACATGCTTAAGATTGACAATGCTCCCAAGGACAGGCTCTTTGATTTTTGGTTAAAGGCTGGTGAATGTCCCTTATTTTTCATCTCTATTCCTCAACTAAATAATTGGTTGGACATATCAGTGGTGATCATGGCAGGAGGGGCTACTAGAGAGTAGTAATACAAGTATCAAGTAGGAGGGGCACTTTAAGAACGGATTTGATGAGTAGACTGGACCATCCTATGTCGGTGGAACTGTTAATGATGGAGCCAGGTCGGCAGTTGGAAAAGCACGGAATGGACTTCCGGAATTGCACTGTCTTGTTGCATGAACAGAGAGAAACTGTTCAACTCCTCTTGACATCTCCAATCTATTGAATATGGTTTGGTGTTTTTGCTTCTGCCATTCACTATGTGTGAGATCAGATTTCCATGCTCTCATCTATAAATCTGGAATAATACCTACTTCCGAGGCTGTTGTAAGAATTAAATGAATGGCTGTGTGGACATGCTACTAACTGTGTAAAGCTACATACGTCGAAGTGCTTATTGTTGGATGGTCAACATGGTGAAGCTCTGTCTCTACTAAAAATACAAAAATTCGCTGGGCATGGTGGTGCGCGCCTGTAGTCCCAGCTACTCGGGAGGCTGAGGCAGGAGAATTGCTTGAACCCAGGAGGCGGAGGTTGCGGTGAGCTGAGATCATGCCTTTGCACTCCAGCCTGGGTAACAAGAGCAAAACTCCGTCTCAAAAAAAAAAAAAAAAAAGGTAGGAAAGCAGTGGGTATGTTCTTGCGTAGAAAAAAGAAAAAAGAAGGAGGAAGGCATGTACTTAGACGTACACTTTAAAAATGAGTAGAGATTGTACAATTATGCTCTATAAGGGCTTATAACATGTAAAAGTAAAGTATATGACAATAACAGCTCAAAAGGCTGGAGAGAGCAAATAAAGCCAACCTAAAGTCACACAGCAGCTGTGTGAATGTATTGTCCTTCCTTCACTGGATGAAGCCACCCGGGGAACTGAAAAGCGAAACTGGTAATATGCAGCCTGCGATCCCAGCAGCTTTCTTACGTAAGGCTCGTGGCAGTACATACCGTCCCAGGAGCTGGATTCCATCCAGTTGGCAGCATTGAAGAGGGAGGCAGTGCCACCGTAGCAGGCATTGGTGGTATCTATTCCCTCAATATCAGTATTGCCTGAATCCTGGAAGAGTTCCATGAGCACTGTTTTGACAGCTTTGGACTTGTCAATGATGGTCTCAGTGCCCACCTCCAGCCTGCCCACGGAGTCCCATGGGAGCTGTGTGCGTTCCATCAGCCGTTGCACCACTGTCAGGCACAGGGAGTTGATGTCCTCTTGGACTGAGCAGAAGCCCATATGGGTCTGGCCCAAGCCCACTGTATACTTTCCTGCTTCCACGTTGTTATACTTCTCCAGGTCAGTTTGGTCCACATATTGGGCTGGGAAGTAGACCTCCAGGGCCAGGATGCCCACGTCCTTTGGCCAAGTATCTGTTTTGGCCAGGGGGACAGCAGAGACTGTAGAAAACCTGTGATGGAGATAAACATCAAACTCCCACTAATGGTCTTTAGACAGTTTTCTCAAAGGACAGTAACGCAGCAATCATTTAATTAATTTTTTATATATTTTCAAGCTATGTTATCAGATGACTCCATTTAGTATTGTTAGAGCTTTTCATTGAATCGACCCCTTTATCCTTACTGAATATCCCTTTTTATCTTTCAGATATTCTTGGCATAAAGTTTCCTTTCCTGATGTCAATATAGCTACATTAGCTTTTGCCTTACTGTTTGCATCGTATATCTTTTTTGTCACTTTTTACTTACAACTTCTCAGAGTCTTTATCTTTAGCATGTGTCTCTTGGAATGGATGCATATTTTTAGTCCTTAAAAAATTTTAGTAAGTCTTACAATAGTGGTGTTTTAATTGGAGTATTTAATCCATTTATGTTTGTTGTAATTACAAATATAGTTGAAACTAAGTCTATGTTCTTTTGCTTTTATTTGTCTCCTTTGTTCTTTGTCATTTATTCCTCCTTTTTCATATTCTTGTTGATTAAACAAGTATTTATTATTCATTTTATACCCTCTTTTCCTTTTACTGGTGACCTTAAAGATTATAACATGCATAACTGGCTTGTTGTAATCTCACCTAAATTAATACTTCTTTTACTTTTTGAACCCTGCAAAACCTTAGGTTGACTTAATTTGCTCTCTCCATCCTTTTGAGCTGTTATTGTCGTATACTTTACTTTTACATGTTATAAGCCCTTATAGAGCATAATTGTACAATCTCTACTCATTTTTAAAGTGTACCTCTAAGTATATGCCTTTCTCCTTCTTTTTTCTTTTTTCTACACAAGAACATACCCACTGCTTTCCTACCTTTTTTTTTTTTGAGACGGAGTTTCGCTCTTGTTACCCTGGCTGGAGTGCAATGGCACCATCTCGGCTCTTGTTACCCAGGCTGGAGTGCAAAGGCGTGATCTCGGCTCACTGCAACCTCCGCCTCCTGGGTTCAGGCAATTCTCCTGCCTCAGCCTCCCGAGTAGCTGGGACTACAGGCACGCATCACCGTGCCCAGCGAATTTTTGTATTTTTAGTAGAGACAGGGCTTCACCATGTTGACCAGGATGGTCTCAATCTCTTGACCTCATGATCCACCTGTCTTGAACTCCCAAAGTGCTGGGATTATAGGTGTGAACCACCGCGCCTGGCCTCACTTTCCTACCTTTTAAGTAAATTTTCTGCTAGCCGATTTTTCTTATTGGGCCTTCCAATGTTTATTGAGTACACCCAACGCAGTTCAAATCCAGCTACACAATAGTGAATAAGGCATGTATTATGCCCATAAAGAGAGCACAGCCCAATGGTGGCGCGTGCCTGTAATCCCAGCTACTCAGGAGGCTGAGGCAGGGGAATTGCCTGAACCCAGGAGGCGGAGGTTGTGGTGAGCTGAGATCACGCCACGGCACTCCAGCCTGGGTAACAAGAGCGAAACTCCATCTCAAAAAAAGAAAAGAGAGCACAGCCCAATGGAAGAGGGAGATGTTTTAACGGCTAAAAACGCAGGAAACACAGAGAGCATAAATAGCAATACTATGTGAGAGCAGAGAAAGAAAGAAAGGAGCAACGGTCAGTAGAATAGGAAAGAGATGATTTATTTTTTTCTGAACCATCTGCATCTGTTCACCCCAGACTCAGTACCCCTGGTGAAAATCTGGAGTTTCTTCTCCCAGCTGCAAGGACAGAGATCAGCAAGTTCATCTCCCGTGTGAAAGTACTTTATACCTTCTGTTCACTTTAGCAACATCTGTCATTTTATAGATAGTGAAACCAGGTACACGCTGGAAAAGTGACACACTCAGAGTAACATCATCATTTCTCACGTGTTAGAAATATTCTGCCCCTTCACTGCCCTGGGTGCCAGGTTTATAAATTTAGCCCCATTCTGCAGGAGCTGGAACTCAGATTGAACGCGTCTATCAGTCATCTTCGGGATTGTGAGCCTCTCTTAACCCCAGTTCTCCCATCAGGAAGGTCACTTTTAAGGTCTGCTGTGAGGCAAAAGTGCATCATATGATCACGAGAGAGTGAAGCAGAGTGATAAATACGCATTGTATGTGACGGGACAGGTTTGGAGTTTATCTGCCCTATTTGATACCCTCCAAATAACAAGTTTAACTGGAGTTTGTACCCTCAAATATTTATGGAGGAGCTCCCCCAGTACGGAGGAGCTAATGATTAGCCCGAGCTTGTCCTGCCAGCGAGGCTGCCATTCTCTCAACCTCGTTCTTCCTGTGCCTTCTCTGGGCTGACTCCCTCCCTTTCTTCCCAGTTAGAAATCTAAGCTTGCAAGGAGAGGCTTACAACCGGTCAGTTGGTAACTTTTGTAGCTGTCTTGGTGGAGAGCTATTTTTAGAAATGGATCCTAAAGCCTTGAAGAAAGTTAGCATGCAGAGGCTTCCCCAAACATCATTGTTAACAGTATCCTTCTCTTCCGGTGATCTCTCTGAAAAATGATCACTTTATGTAATTTGAAATCATTTTTCTCCTGGTGTTGCCTACTTCAAGAACATTTGCCATGCCTTTACTTCTGTATTCGATCTTGACTCCTGCCCTCGTGTTTCAAAAGTAATTGCTACATTTCAGGCACCATGCTGGGGAGGGATTGTGAGGGTTGAACAAAGAAAAGAGGGCAAGGTTCTTGAGACCTCCTTCACCAGTGTGAGGGATGATAGGCACGCATGGTCGGGGCCAGCAGAGAGATATGGGCAAAATCCATGCGAGTTCAGAGGAAGCAGAGATTCCCGTGTGTTGGAGGATCGGGGAAGCTTCGTGAAAGAGGCTGCATTTGAGGGTAACCTTGATGGACGAAATGTCAGCAAAGAACTGGAGGGAATGAAGGGGCGATGGCTGCAGCCGGGGGTGACTGAACAGGTAAGGAACCCTGGAGATACAGGTGTGTACGTGAGAAATAAACGAAGTGGCGGGCACGAGCCTTACTTAGTTTTGAAGGCAGCAAAGCGGATGCTGAGACGGAAGTCACTTTTAGGTTGGAGTTAGAGCCCGTGTGGGTTGGATTAAAGGCGATTAGACATATGGAGAAAAGATGACTCATTTGAAGCAATATTAGTTCAGGCCATGCATAACGGGATTAACTGAATACCCCAGAAAGGAAATGTGAATGAGGATTCCAAGAGTTTCAATACAGTAAGTCAGGCTGTTGGGGGGGATCGCTGTGCGTCTTTTGGCTGATGGTCACCTGTTGCTATTGAAACAAGCAAACCCACTCCATCTCTTCCTCACAAATATAGAAACACTAAATTTGGAGCTGGGACATTTAACCCACATGCAGTGGTTTGGCAGTGTTGGGGGGAGAGTGAGCTGAGAAAGCTACGCGCATCAGCCCTTACCGTGCACATGTATGTACCAGGCTCCCTGGGTATTGGGCAAGGGATCAAAATCACTTTTCTAAATATTTAGTAGTCATAGAATATACAGTAAAAATGTAAGGAAATAAGGACTCGTTCCAATGTCTAGCAGATGGTTTGGGGACTAGACAGCAACACATAGGTGTGGGGAGCCTGAGGCACTAACGATCGCTGATGATGGAACACATGAGAATTTGTACCACATTCAGGGAGTATTTACAAAGGAAAGGAATGTGTGTGTTCTTGCAAAGAACATGTGCATATACACACATAAACACACACTTCCCCTTTTCATAAAATTGGAACACAAGGCAAACACAGCTTCTTATCCCTAGTCCATTTCTGATCTTCCTGCAGTGATTTAAAGGTTTCGCTAATACTGTAGTTGGCACAGAATCCTGAGGGTCTTGGCAGAGGCTAGCGGTAAAGGTGGGAATGGTGGTGGAGAGAGAAGAGCTGTGGCCCTCGTACTGATATTTCTGCTGCTCTGTGCAGCTGGCAGAGTAAAAGACGCCATTGCTCACAAACAGCATGTGTCAGAGGTTTGGCTCTTCTCATTCTCTAAAGGGACCGTTTGTTTAGACATGAGGTAACCAAGATCCTGTAAAGTAAACCTGCTTGTCTAAGGCTGCCGTGCTCAAGCCTTGCCACGTTTTGAGTGGGATTCTAGTGAGTTTTCCCCAGTAGCAGGCCCTCTGTCTGTCTTTTACTAGTTACAAGATGCTTCTCAAAAACGGACTCACCTTTGGTGGACCGCTGGGAGCAGGCGAGCAGGTGTGACGGAGGCTTCCTGCATCACTGCTGTCAGCTGCAGGATGCGCTTCACTGGGGTCAGCAGACGCTGCATCTCCAGAAGATCAAGCAGAAAGCGAGGCGTTCACAGACCTTGAAAGAGATGCCCAGCAGTGCCCAGCAGGGCTTTATAATGGCCCAAGACTCCTGCCTCCCTAAGCCCCGCCTCTGCTCACTGTGGCTTGATCTGCTTCTGAAACTGGGCCAAAAGGCTCACTCAGAACATGGGTGAGTCAAAGACAAATAGCATTTCTCCAACATGTATCTAGTTGCCCTGCTCCTGAGCCTGTGTGGGAATGGCTGGGCGTGGTTCCTCGTCCTGCATCAGGCTCTTGTTTATGCTAGCCATCTAAGCAGGAAGGTTGTGATGTTTCTTGTACCCGTCCCAAGGTAACCCTGTGTGGCCAGCGCTAGACCTTGGCTCCTTATCTGTGCTGTCAGTTGTTATTATTCTAATGTGCTGTGCATGATAAGAAACATCTTTCAAAACCAAGGGGAAACTCTTTAATAGTAGCTCTTTAAGGAGTTGGGAGGGGTGCTGGCACACAGGCCACGGGCTGGGCATTAGAGTATGTGGACCCCACTCTACTTCTCCTTGTTTATTGCCCACTCTTTTGTTTGTACAGCTCTACACAGTTTCCAAGTGGGATGCAATCAGGGTTGTAGTAAAGCGACAGAAGCCTCAGAGGCGACAATTTGAAGTTCAGTCTCCTAAGGAGGAAAGGTTTACTTTACAGATGAGGTCAGAGATATGTAGTCATTTTCCCAAAGACCTACAGTTAGAAAGTTGCTCAGAATGAGAGCTCAACCATGTCTTTGGATTCCAGATTATGGTCTTTCTGCTTTGCTCTTCTACTACTCAATGAAAAGGCACCTGCCATCTGATCTTCCAAATGAATGTCTCCCTCCGCTCCTCCCACAGCACTAATCTTTTACCTTTTATGAGTATCATGCATTCACTCAGTTCATTCCGTTATCCCCACCCCCACTCTGACTAATATGAGTCTGTAGAGGACACACAGAAGAGCTAGAGTGGTTCCTGCTTCAGAAGGGAAATAGCTGACTTCCTGTTCCTACAGACAGAGAACATCTGGGGACCCTCAGAGGTCCTGGATATCTAGGTCTTCCACCTCATCTTTAGATTCTCATCTCCATATATCTTGGTGCATTAGTGTTCTAACTCAATCGCCTACCTTGCTCTGTCACCTCCTGCTCTCTTTTTTTTTTTTTTTTTTTAGACAGAGTCTCACTCTGTTGCCAGGAGCCAGCCTGGAGTGCAGTGGCACAATCTCCGCCTCCCAGGTTCAAACAATTCTCCTGCCTCAGCCTCCCAAGTAGCTGGGACTACAGGAACACACCACCATGCCCAGCTAATTTTTTGTATTTTTAGTAGAGATGGGGTTTCACCATGTTGGCCAGGATGGTCTCGATCTCTTGACCTTGTGATCCGCCTGCCTCGGCTTCCCAAAGTGCCGGAATTACAGGCTTGAGCCACCGTACCCGGCCACCTCCTGCTCTTAACACTGAGCCTTTTGCAAAGTTCTGTCATCAATGAAATTCATTTCCAATCTCTTCTCTGAAATACCTGCTGCTTCTTGTCAATCTGATGCACTTTAAGTGCTTCCAATAAGGCCTGTATCCTCTTTGCTTCTCACTGATACTTCCGGAGCATTTCTCCCCTTTCTCCTCTCAGAAACCCTGCTGTCTGAAAGCACATGCAGCAGTCTGTACCGCCCAGTGCCTTTTATTCATGCAGTCAACTCCCTGTCGTGTTCCACTGTCCCCCATTCATAAAATGCAAGCACACAGATCACTGCTTTCCTCTCCACCATCAATCCTCTCCATGGATTTGAGATGTCAACCCGTGTGTAAGGTAATTCCCTACCCTAGCCTCTCACTGAAGCTCCCACGTCCACGTACACGTCCACGGACATGACTTAGCCTCCCAGTCCACAGCCACAACCTGGACTTTGTTATTGCAGTGTCGACGACATCTCCAACATTTTAATTTCATGCATCCCCATTTTCAACCACCTCTATCTTCCCAGCTCCTGTTTAAAGAAAGTACCCCCCACAGCTTTGTCTCCCAGAGACCATCACTGACTCCTCTACGTTTTACCACTTATTATGCCTCATCACCTCTTTTCTCTTTCCACCCTGCTCAGATTACCCGTGGTGTCTCACCCTAAGCAATCCTTTGCACACACGTTGCCATTTGTGCTCCCTGTTGGACTGGCCTAGCAAACCTTCACCTTTGGTTGAACCCAACTCTTAATCTACTCTATGCCTGCATCTGAGCAGCTAAACGTAGACGAAGAAAATCACATTATTCTAACTTGATAGCTTTAACTGTACAAACACACGGTGACTCTCACCGTGGCCCGGTAACCCCGGTACCTTTTCCCAGTCCATTGGCTTGCCCAGTCCCAAAAGGCCTGGTCACAGCTCTTCTGCCTTAACTTCTTTCTACTAATTTTCAGCTAATCACTTTGACTCTGAATTCACTGAGAAAATAGAAACAATCAGAAAAGAACAACTTGATTTTCCCTTAGCAAATTTGGCAGATTGCCCGCCTTTATACCCCACACACTACTGCCTTCTCATGATGGGGAGCAGCAGCCCCTGCCCTGGCCTCAGGCCAGCACCAGCAGGTATGCACTGGCTGTGCTGCTTGTTTTTCGCACAGGGCTGTGCTCCTGCAGTGTTCCCCTCTCTTCCTCATGATCGATGTCCCCTTCCTACTACATCCTCCTTATCTTACTGTTTTTATGCAATCCCATCTTTAGATTCCTCCTCTTGACCCTGTATGTCTTACTGAGCGCCACCAAATCTGTGCTCCCATCTACAGCAAAATGTATTTAAAATCTCTGCTCCCCGTGTTTTACATGCTTACCCCTCATTCTCTCTTTAATTATCCACTTAGACTTTTGCCCCCGTGCCCCAAGGAAATTCATCAGGGTCACCAGTGTCTCCCTTATCGCCAGCTTCAGTGTTTGGTCTTGAATCTTCAGCCTGCTGGACCCTCAGCAGCAAGCGGCAAGGCTGCCTCTCCCTTTTTCTCAAAGCACCTTTTTTATTTTACCTGGGACCTGACAACCCCATCGTCCAGATCCCGGGCCGCTCCCCACAGGTGCTCTCCTCTTTCTGATCCCTAAATTTCGCAGCACTCCCGGTGGTCTCCACATGTTCCTTATTCCACTGAGACAATGGATAAAACTCATTGTCTCAGTGGAATAAGGAGTATGTGTTAATGTAAATTTAATGTGGCCTAAAACTTCCTACGAGGTAGGGTACTTAACCTACCATATAAACAAACCGCAACATGAGAGTATATTCAGGTAACGGGCAGCTGAATCTCGACCAATCATAGCAGCCACACTTTCAGCCAATCACAGGCTGCAAACTGCCAAAATATGTTCACGTAAGGCAAATGCCAGCTGTAACCAATCAAGCCTTTTTTGTCTCTAAATACTGACATCCAGAATTTATATAGGAGCTCTCTGGATCTTACTAATTCAGGGTGCTGACTTACTCATGAATAGTTTCTTTGCTCAAATAAAGTTAGCTAGATTTAATTTGTTTAAAGTTTTTCTTTTAACATTAAACTCCTACGCGAACATCACACGGGATTATGGATACCTAATGGCTCAGTTTGATAGAATTGAAGACCAAAACCATCCTATCCAGTGCAAACTTTATTTAGTGTATTTAACAAAGTAGACATAGTAATAAGCACTGGGATACAGATAGATGGATCAACTTTATTCCCTTCTCTCTTTTAAGCTGACATGTACTGAGCAATAACTGTGTGCTAGGCACTGTGCTTAGTACTTTCTGTGCATTATCTCATTTCATTTTTACAACTGTCTGAGGTTGGTACTATTGTTAAGCTCATTTTACAGATGAGGAAACTGAGGTTCAGAAAAATTACATAACCATTTGTGGTTTTAGACCTAGTAAATGGCTTGAATGGGCTTTGAATCCAGGTATCTGGCTCTACACATAACCTGAGTCAATCATGAACCATTTTTGACCTGGAAAGGTAGCTATGTTATATGGCCAATTTAACATTAAGTTGTTCCTTTGGGATAAGGGAACTTGTAGATTGAGGAAGCAGCAAGAATGCATTATGTAAAATATAAATGGAGGGAAATAATAAATTTAGGGTAAAACACCATTAGGTGTTAGTTTTTCATAATGAAGGAAGTTTGACTGGTCAACTAATTGTATTCAAGTATAGTCAAGTAATTGGTTTGTCTATTAATTGCTCAAAGTGTTGAAGAAAATGGAGCACGACATGTTTCTGAAGAAAAGACTGCCTCCCAAATACTTAAAGAAACCCACATTTTGATACTTCTTAAATGAAAATAAATGCATATTTTTGCTTTGAGACTTTGGGGTGCTTCAATTGCTAGACTTTAGCTTTTCAGCCGAAGTGTCGCTAAAAGGATGAATTTAAAATGCATGTTACCTGCTAGATAAGCATTAAGAGTCAGAAAAAATGATTATTAGAGATGTTAGAAGTTTGGATATCTAGGGTGAGGTCTTACAAAAACAATGTTTGTGTTTAAGCAATTCTGACAAAAGAGCTGGTGTAGAAGAGCAAACCTGGAAACAAGGTTCCCAGGCACCTGGATTTGCCTCTTTTAGCCCACATTAAGATTGCAGCTCTTCTGCCTCAGAAGCCCACTGTTCTCCTTTCAATACATGCTCTGAAAATGCGTTTACCCAGGTTCCCATGACTGATACATTGAAGCGATCTTTTCCCAGGCAGATCTGCCCTTTACATTGCAACCTAAAAGAAAGAGCTTTCAAAACCCCTGGCATCGGAAAGGGGGTAGGAAAGCCCTTTTTATGGCAAGTCTAGACCAAGGCGAAGTCTTCTTACTTGCAGAGTCTTTGTACCTTTGGAGATGAGCCCTGTTTATTTCGTGATACGGATGCAGTCCCAGCATACCTGGTGCATCAGCACTTTTCAGTTCCTTTCACATACAGTCTTTTCTCGTGCAAATGCTGTGGCGTTAACCTGAATTATTAGCCCCATGTGGACAATAGGGACATGGAAGCTTTGAGAGATTAAAGTACTTCGCTTCTGGATAT